CCCGAACTGGGCTCCCCTCCGAGCCCTCCCACCCCCCAGAACGTGACGCGCGGAGCCGGTGCAGGAATCAGCCGTTTATTCCCATTTTCCATGCGATAAAAAGGAAGGAAAAGGAAAAGGAGGAGAAGGAGAATCCCCCACCCACCACCAGCACCCTGCAGGCTCCAAACCCCGAGCCTGGAGCGGGAATTCTGCTGCAATCAAAGCTAAAAAGGTGATTTTTTTTTTTTTTTCTCTCTCAGCCTCGAGGATTTCCAGGCTCCAAAAATCAGGAATTTTTTTGGAGTTTCAAGGCAGGAGCCGAGAGGGGCCCCAAACTCAGGACCTGAAGTGACACCCCAGGGTGCAAAAGAGGACAGAGGGACCCAAGGACTCCAATTAGAGCAGAAAAAGTGATTAAATATCGAGGGACACGCCCGGCATGGAGGTGAAAACTCCAGCTCCGGGGGAATCTCGCTTCCTGCTGAGGATTTCTTCCAGGGAAAAGCCCCCAAGCCCCTGTGGACACCCCGGGATCCTTCTGAGTCCATCACTGCTGGGCCACCACGTCCCGGGCTGGGAATGGGGGCACAAGGGACCCTCAAAAGGACCTGGAGAGGCTCCAGGGAGAGGCAAATCCCCCTCAGGATGTCTTGGATTCATCCCTGGGGTGGCTCGGGACCTCCTGGCCCTGCTTGGTGCCACCTTCCCGAGAAAGTTGGGAATTGCCGGATTCCCGGCGGCTCCTCTTGCTCGATTCCTCCCCAGGAGCCTCCTCAGCCTCCTGGATCTCGTTCCTGCCGCTTTCTCCGGGATCTCCCCGCTCTGGATCCCGACATTCCCGAGCCTCCGGAGCCGGGGGGCAGCTCTTGTCCTCGCCGTCCTGGCGTGGATCCCGGGGGATCTTTTGGGATCCTTCACCTCGGGGCTGATCCTGCTCCTCCTCGGGGATCTCGGGGCGCCTCCGGCTCTCCCTGGATTTCACCTTCTCTCCCTTCACCGCCTCCGCCTCGGGGCAATCCCGGGGAGCTCCGTCCTTCTCCTCTTTCCCGGATTTTTCCCGAGGCTCATCCACATCCTGGGGGGGGTTTTCCTGCCCTTTGGTGGCCTCAGCCCGCGGTGGCCGCGGGGACACGGAGCAGGTCCGGAGGCGAGCGGGCTGGCCGGGTTGGTGACACACGATCTCGTAGGTGGCGCCTTTGGGGTCGTGGCGGTTCTGGATGACGTGAACCAGGTAAGCCAAGGTGTGAGGCTCCACGGGCTCCGGGAGCAGCCGGACCTCGGGCCGGACCTCGGGGTCAGCGGGGAGGTACCGGACCCTGAGGTCACTGACGGGTCCTGGGGGGCAGAGATCGCCGGTGTCCACGTCCAGGGTCTGGTACCGGCACCGTCCCTGCTCCTGCTCCTCTTCATCTTCCTCCTCCAGGACCTCCAGCCTGACGGCATCGCGGGCCTCGCTCTGGCCACTTCTGCTCATTTCTGCCTCCCCTTCGCGAGTCCGGCGCTCAGAGACCTCCAGCTCCTGCTCCTCATCGATTTTCCTCTCCCTCACGGCCTCTCCTCTCTCTCT